GATATTATTGAAAACAAAGTTTTTCATTCCATACATATACTATCAAATATGTCCAATTGAAAATTACCGTGATTCTCTATTTAAATTGACAACCGACGGAAATAACAATGGGTGGTAAGGGCAGAATGTAATAACCAAGGGTTTTTTGGTTTTATCCTACGCAGCATATCCTACGTCAACTGATTGTCGAAGATCAGGATCAGCCACAGCTTCTTTAAAAGCTTCCAAGATCTGTCCAGCAAATAAATAATTTTTCAACCTTTTTAAAAAACGTAAATATTTTTATCCCAGGCTAATTTTTTTGTCTTATAAAAAAAGTTTTCTCTTAGCTACATTTTTCTTGAATACTTTTAACTTTTCTCACTATAACAGACTAAAATTGATTAAAAATGAAAAACAACAGTATACTGATGGTGCTTGTTACTAACTACTTTCCTAACCTTTCATTTTTTTTTCTTTTACAAACAAATTTATCATCTAGACTATCAACCTCTACTTTTATTGCTAAACTGAACAATCCATGTTTACTTTGAAAAACATGTGATTCTTAGAGTTAGAAAAAGTTTTAATACTCTATTAAATAAACTACTCAATAAATGATTACAGAAAGATTGAGTTTGAGAGCTTATAACCGCTATATAGATTTCAAAATTTTTTTTGTGAATAAGTTTTATCAAAAAAGCATAAAGTTTACAGAAAATATTCAAATTTACATTGAGATATTGTTCAAAAAACAACATATGTAAATGTGCTAGGTACTTTTACTTTTACATGAAAATTAAAAAAAAAAAAAAAAAAAACTTAATTCTTTCTAGTTTTAGATTCAATATTTGTTTGAAATACTTTTTTCAAGCATCTAATCTTTTTCAAATTAATCTCTATCTTTAGAAAGTTCGATTTACAGAAATCGCTCATTAAAAGCTGAACGTATTTGTAATTATTTTTGCAAAAAGTTTTTTATAACTTTTGTTTCAGGTGCCCCAAGGAGAACTAACGGTCATGTCACAGAGCACCGCGAGTTTAATTTTATTTAATTTAATTAGGACGTATTTAGTATAATTACCTATTTAATTTAATATAAAATAATATAAATATTGAACATAAACATTATTAACTTAAGAAGCTGTAGTTATAATTACAACTTTTTAAATTAATGTTTATGCTACAGCATAGCATTGAGGAATATAGCGAAGCTATAAAACGGGTGACACGGAACTTAGATCGCGAGAAAGATTTATTTTTTTGAAATTTATGTTTTAATTTAAAATGTACATGTTTTTATATAAAATTATGTACACTGAAAATACGTGATATTTCCCTAGGCCTCCCGTGAAGAATGCTTTTTTTTTTACATTTTTGGAATGATTATTCGGAATAATGAAGAGTTCTTTTACGATAACCAAAAAAAAAATTCTGTGGATGTGTTGCAAGGTCTTAGAACATGTTTCTATACACCGTGTGTAACAATGGCTGAAAAAAGACTCAACACCTGGTAAACCAGTATACAAAAGGTTATAGATCATCCAAGTCATACTTAAAAAATCCGGAAAATTGTTTAGGTAAAATATCCGGAAATATTTTACTCCTAATTTTGCTTATACCTGAATTGCTTTCAACTTTTTTTTTCTAGTGATGAATAGAGAAATTGTTACAAATAATTATACCTAAACTTTTACGTACAGAAAATGTTGAGAACATCCGGAAAAAACTAAAAGTTGAAAAAAATGGAATTTCGGAATTATGCAGAAAAGGATACCTGGGAAACGAATGAAAATTTTAGGTTGGTTCTCTTCTGATCCGATTAAAAAATGCTTAAAAATATCACATCAAGGTACTTATTTTATAATTGCTAAATCAATTAAAATAGTAACATTGCATCTGAGTGGTTATCTTCAGTGAACGCTTTTGAGCATGACCACTCTGATGCAAATCTGACGGTCTTTTGTTTTTTCTTTATTAAATAAGAGTTCGCAGAACATTTGATTCGACAGTTTACATTTAATTATTTTTTATTTCAAAAAAGCAAAACTCAACACTGGAAATAATTTTTATTAAACTTTGCATTACTTCACACTCCAAAAAGTCATAGAGAAAAAAAAATTCAGGGAAACTAAGCTTATATAAATGTTTTTTTTAAAAAACTATTTAGTACAAATATTATATCCTATTTATTACTTTTAAGATATAATATTTTTATTTAACTTTACGAGCTATTTAAAATTTATTAAAATATTGTTTATCTCAATTAACTAATTTTACAATAATAAATCAAAATTCAGTCAAAAATTTCCGCACGGTGTCGAGGCTTTCCATAAAAAAAAGCCTCAGGGTTATGACAAAGTGTGGGAATTCTAAAACTATGTTTAAATAGTTGTAACGTCACGCAGACGTTTAACATATTTAATATCTTGTTGTCAAGTACAAACTTTTAAAATCGTTTTTTCTATTAAAAAAAAAAGAAGCATAAATACAATTAAAAAGTTGTTTGAATGAAAGCAACTGACCAACAGTTAAGAAAAGTTTCAGCAATTTCTTCAACCTTTTCATCAGGGGCATATTTAAAAAACATCAAATAAATGACATATATGAAAATGAAAACCAAAGCCTTTAAAAAGCTGAAAAAATTCATCTTGCTTTTCTTTGTTCAAGTTACTATATGAAGTTTGCATAAACATCTTTAATAACAATAAATATTATATTCTCTTAATTACAAAATCATAAATAGTGATATAAACTTAGATCGGCAGTAAACGCATTTCAATGAAATAGGACACGGATTTCATATAAACCAAAGAGCGAAACCTAAAACATAAAAATACAGTTATCTTGACAATTTATACAACCTTATTCAGTAGGCACTTTTATTAAACAGATATATATTACTGCGCCCTAAAAAACGATATAATTGAAATAAAATTGAAACAAACAAATTTTTGTAGTAAATATGAATATTAATTAAAATTAATTTTATTAAAAACTAGCAAGCCTGCAAGAGCCCAAGATTTATTAAGAGCAAAGCCACCCAATGAAAATTTGAATGCAAGCGTCATTAAAAATGATTAAATGTGGATCACTTTTAATATTATTTTGCACTACTTTGATCAACAAACTTAACATCCCATCTTGAGTCAAATAACTTACCGTCAGAAAAAACAGTTTTCGATCTTCTCGCTCAACCGTTGTCTTGCCAACTGCTGAGACTAAAATATTTTATGCATCGAATGTAGGCGACAAGCCTAGGGCTATTACTCTTAACATATCTAAAACTTTAGCCTAAGTATATGCTGGCCTTCTCCATTTGCTTACTTCGTGTATTTCGGAAAGTTTTTGAGATTATCAAATCATTTCTTTTTAACTGTCTTATTTAAGTCATCATGGGAGGCCCTCTCTTTTTTATTTCAAGTAACTTCTGAGGTGCCTCAAGCTTTTATCCTTAGTCCTGCTTTGTTTCTTATCTTGATAATCTTCCTGACAATTGATTTTATTTGCTTTTTTGATAAAAAATCTTCTCTATTAGATAACCTTAATCTTAAATCTGATTCTATTATGATTAAAATACAATGATTGAATCTAGTTCCATCAACCAAAACTCGTTCTTGCTTGACTTGAAAATTCAGCTAAGCCTAATTTTTTAGTGTCAGCCTGCATGCTCTCAAATATTTTATGTCTAGTTTTTTTGTATGCACTTCAATCTTTTAGTACTACCATCTTTAGTTTTCCTGAAGCAACCTACAACTTTTAAAAATTTCTATTAACTGTTATGTATATGCATGCACACACATACATATACTATTTAAGGGTGGCCGTCATTTAAAGGTGATTTTAGAGAAATAAAAAGATGTCTATTATCTCTTACTTATATAAACACTTAAAAACATATCAGAAATCTAATGTCATATAGTTTCTTGCAGAAAATCCAGGTGATTTAAAGTGTCACAAAAACAGCAAAATTTATTACATTTCAAAATGCATTAAGTCAATTTGTATTTATCAGTTTTTAATTAAACTTTAGGATATTTGTGTGAATATTATAGTGAATCTAGACCAAGTTATTGATATTGGATAAAGTATTTGTTTTCAAAATTTTTTCAAAAATATTTTAAGTTTTAAAGAAATGTTATAAAACACAAACGAAAGTTTAAAAAGTTAAAATTCAAAAAACAAATCTTTAAACCCTTATGATTTTCTGTAATAAGTGTCAATGGGTTCTTTTTATTTTAAAATGTCACTGTAGCCCTTCTCCTTTGCTCTGGATGGATTTTCTTCGCTTTTTCATACTTTTTTTATAAGAGAAAGAACCACTTGAAGGGATTATATTATCCATGAATACTTTGAATAGTAACTAAAAGCCTTGCTATGTAAATTTAAAAAAATAAATAGCCTAAAAAGTTATCAAAACTGACTAAAAAGGTTAAGTAAATAATTAAATTTTTTGGGGGAATAAAAGCACACAGAATGCTGTTTTAATAATAAAAAAAAATTTCTTTCAAAAATCATTTTTTCATGATTACCACCTTAATTTTAAATAACCTATGAAAAAACAGAGAAGGCCAGTTGAGTCAAGGAGGATACTTTAATTGCAATTAAAACGCTTTCAACTCTGAAATACAAATTTTGATGAACAAGTTCACTGCATAGATGAACAAGTTGAAACAAGTGTTCAACCACTACAGCAAATATACTTTTTGTAAAATTTAAGTTGGTTTCTATGACATTCAATTTGATTAGTCTGTGGAACATTTTTTTCATTAAGGAATTTTAACTCGCCACTACGCTACTGTTAAAAATTATTTGTTTAAACTGTTTTTACTTAAAAGAAAAAAGTTACACTAACCTTCACATAAAGTTCATATAAAAGTTATGACAAACAAAATCAATTACATTTTAAAAAAGTTTAACAACATATCCTTCCAGAATTGAGCAATTTAGACAGATTATTACTTTCTTATTTAAATGAATGGAAAAAAATTTTAAAAAATTTAAAAAAAGTGTTATTTTCTTATAACATGGAAGAAATGAAGCAACTCTCTCATGACATTCTAGAAGAGTTAAGAACCGAGTATGCTTATAATATAACTACCACAAGATTGATATTTAAGAGGTTTATAAGCTCCTTTAAAGTTATGACAAAGATATTTGTTTCAATAAAATTAATATATCATTATTATATCATTCTATAATTATTTAACTGTAATATATTTATAATGTATTATGTACTTATATATATATATATATATATATATATATATATATATATATATATATATATATATATATATATATATATATATATATATTAAATGAATAAATATTGTGAGAAAAAATATATAAACGAAACAAAAAAACAAACCTGCACAAGTTGTTGTTTTGTTCTATATCCTTTCGAAGTTGTAGCAAATGATGCAACATTCTTTTCTTTTAGTTTTTAAAAAAAACAAAAAACAAAGGAAAAAAAAAAATTTCTTTAAAAGCGTTTTTTTTTTTTTACAAACCTTTTTTTCATTTTCTTTTATTTATCTATTTTTTAATTGAAAAAGGTTTTCACTTATTTCACTTTTTCAAAATAAAACAGTTCAATGAAAAAAAAAAAAAAAAAAAAAAAAAAAAAAAAACTTTTAACACTCTTTAAATAAAAACAAGTCCTAACAAAATCTCAGCATTAATGCTTTAAATACCACCAATATTCAAGTGACCACGCCATGTCATGGAATAACACCTTCACCTATATGTACACATATATATACAAAAAAATATTAGTTGAGAAAATAAAATAGCTTAAAAGGGGTATCCTTTATTCTTAAGTTAAAAAAATCTACACAAAAGCTCAAAAAGTCTCGCTGGTTGTTTCGAAAAGCAAACCCAAGTTTTTTTTTATACAAATAGTCTGATGTTCGAATGTATTGAAAAGTTAAACTCCAAAATGAAAATTCGTAAACTTGTCTTTCAAGAAAACAACTTCTCAGCAAATAATTGAAGGGAGAGCTAAAAATAAAATATCCAATGTAACCAAATAATGCGTATCTTCTACAAGATACTGGAAGCAAAATTGACATTAATTTCTGGAGATGTCAACTAGGCTTCACAATCCCCCCAAAGAAAATACCTGGAAACTTAATAAGGAGCGTATCTGCCACCTCGAACACCTCCACGACTGCCTCTTTGTGGTTGTGGGGCTGCATAGCCACCACCATAACCATATCCATAGTCATAAGCACCACCATATCCAGGACCATATCCATACCCATCCCAACCTCCATAACCACCATAACTATATGGACTGTAAGCAGCACCGTACGCTCCACGAGCAGCATATCCAGCACCTCTCTTACCACCACCAACTGAAAATTAAATAAAAAAATTGTTAGTTATATTGATAACCTATAAATTAAACATTTCTGATTAAAAATCTATAATTTAAAAAAATTTTAAATTTTCTAAAAACTATTTATAAAGCTATACCGAAAGCAAAAAATCATCAGGGTGTTAACAACTTATATCAGATTCAGATTTACGATGTTTACTAGACACCTAGAAAACATGGGTAGTAGTAACAGTATTGAAAACAGCCAAACTGAATTAATTCTAAGAGAGTTTCCAGATAATTATTGAAATTGTGAAAAAAAGAAATAAAATCGAAATTGTGAAAAAAGAAATAGTATCAAATATCTTAAAAGCAGTATAAGATCGAAATTAAAAGAAAATGATTAACATTGAAATAATTAAAAATTGAATATTAAAAATTAAAAAAACAATGATTCAATTTTTTTTATTGATTGACTGCTTGCCCAAACCAAACTCTCAGTCAATGTAGCTCTATTCTTTGCATTTGGCAGTCGATTAGCAGCTCTCCTTGCCTGTTTTTTGATACTATTCCTAAATTCGAAATTTTAATATTATTTCTGTATATTTTTAACATTATTCCTTCTAAATGAATTTTTTTTTTTGAATTAATTCCTTAAAATCAATTTCTTGATATTAAACCCAAAAAATGTTTCAACCAAAAAAATTTCGATAATCATCTGTTTTTCGAGCAATTTTATTTTCAATACTATTCTGTTTTCCTGAAAACATTATTATTATGCACGACAATGAAACAAATTAAGTTAATTGATTTCTTTTAATAAGAAAAAAAGTGTTGTCATTAGCAATAAACATAAAAGAAATTAAATATACATAAATTTATAAAGAATTTTTCTATTTAATTTACAAATAGAAAAATTAATATTTTTTTTTTACAAATGCAAAATTCATGCAATGAAAAATGCAAAATTTATGAAATAATTTGTTTAAAATACCTACTATACTAGATATTTACATATAATTTTATATTATAATAAAAATTATAGTATAAAATAGATTAAAAAAAAAAACAACGAATATCCATGTAAAAAAGTTCAATGCAAATTAAAACCTTTAGTTTTAAAAATATAAGGTTTTTATGTTAAAAACTTCAATATTCAAAAACTTTTTATATAGCATATAGTGTTTTATTTTCATAAATTAAAATATTGTTTTAGCTATTTAAAAAAATACATGAAGATTGTGGCAACTGTCAAATAAGTTTTGTTAAAAATTCATTACTATTAAGCTTTTATTTTTTACATTTATAATATAAACATGAAAATAAATATAAAAGAAGACAATATGTAAATAATCATTTAAACTTTTTAAAACTGTTTAAAAATGATATACCCAATTAGAGTAGATCAAAGTATTAAAGTCATTTAAATTTTAATTGCAAACAATTGTCTTTTGTTGTTTTCTCTTTAATATATCACACAAAGAAAAAAAGCAATTTATATGAAAAAAACTTCAGAAAAATGCTGAAAATGAAACAAGTTAAACAATTACAATTTAACATTCATATTCATAAATATAAAAAATGTCAAATTTTTTACTTATTTTTTACCCTAATTTGCTTAAATTTTAGTTTTAAAGTTTAGTAAGAATGCAATTGCCGTTTTTTTGTTACATTAAATTTCTAAATTCTTAATATTACAAAAACATAAATAAAAATATGTTTACCAGAGTGCGACAAATCAGTTTTTTTAAAATAAACGTTGACTTTGGTATCTTTATTTATTGATGAACATCTAACTTTAGGGGTACATGCCAAATAAACCAGTTTATTTTCAATTCTTTTAAATTCAAATAGTTATAAGGGAGTTTCACTTTCAAATAACTTTTATTCTAGTTAATAAGTTATTAGATATATCAAACATATTTAATGAATTTTAACACATTTTTATTCATTCAAAATAATTTTTCACGCATCTGCAAAATGCACACAAATCAATGATAATTAATACCATAGATTATGCAGGTCATATTTTTAAAATTGAAAGAATTGTTTGGGTAAATTATCTGGAAAAAATACGGAATATATTTTTCCTTAATTTTGCTTTTAGCTGAGTTATTACCAATTTTTTTTTTAACTTTCTTAATTTTTGTTTATTTTGGATATCCAGAAAAACTAAACTTTTGTTCATTTTGGATATCCAGAAAAACTAAAAGTTGATAAAAATATCAGAGTTCCGGAAATATCCGGAAAATGGTAATTCATGTAATATGCAATAACTTTATGAATATAAACTGTTATCCATCAATACAAAATAGTGACTTTTTCTCTATTTAGTTAAATTGAAACTTGAATAAATTAAAATAAAAGGGAACTAAAAATAAAATAAAAGTTGTTTTGACACTTCTTTTTTTAAACCTTTAAAAATTACTAATAATATGAAGTATTTAATAAGTTATTATATTAAGTTAGTAACATAATATAAGTTACTTAATAATTAAGTTATAGTTAGTAAAAATAATAAATAAATTTATTATTAATAATAATAATATAATAATTTATTATTAATAATAATAAGTTAGTAATATAATATAGTTACTTGATAATTAAGTTACTTAATATAATATTATTACAAGGTTCCCACTATTAAAACTGAGGCTAAAAGTAAGGATTTTAAGGAGATTTAAGGAGATATTTTCCTAATATTTAAGTAGATTTGGTCGCGAACAACAACTTTTTGAAAGAAAAAGTAAGAAGAATTAAGAAAACAATTGCATTAAAAACAGAATCAATTTTTTTTCAATAAATTTTAAATATAAACAGAGAAATTATTAAAAATTAATATTTTACTTAATATATATATATATTTAACTATCAAAAAATTTATATATATATATGCTTAAATATCAAAGAATATATTTTCTTCTTTATTAATAAGTATAACCACTTTAATAAAACTTCCTAGATGATTGAAAATAATAGTAATAATAACAATAATAATAATAATAAGGAGAAATTAAGGAGAGCAGTAAAATTTTAAGGTAAAATTAAGCAGTAAAAGGTTATTTAAGGACATTTAAGGAGGTTTTTATTATTTAAGGATATTTAAGGTTTTTAAGGAGGAGTGAGAACCCTGTATTATATTTATAATATTAACTATTTAATAATAAAAATATCATATTATTGGCATCATTGAACGCAAAATAAAAAATGAAAACTATAACAAACATAAACAGTTCTATATGTTCTATAATTTATCCAGAATTCAAGTAAGGCATTTGTTTTGCTGTTTATAAATTATTTGAAATAGCAAATTAAATTCTAAGATCAATAAAAAACTTCTGACCTCAGACACTGTCAGATTTTAGCCTTATTAGCATCAAAAAAGATTGCATGCTTTCTAGTCTGATAGCATCAACAGTAGGTGTTGTTATAAATAGGATAAATCTAAAACAACTACCTACAAGCCAGCTACTAACTTTTCACTTTATTGACAGTCACCAAAGCATTTACATCTTGATCTATCCAAAAAAAATCTTAAACAAATAAATCCTAGGCAAGACAGAAAACTGATATATTAATAAAAATTCAAAAAGAATGTTTGTTTGTTTTTTTTAAAAAAAATAATACTTTTATTTGAAAAAAAGAACATGTGTTGTGTATAAACACTTTAAGGCTGTTCAGCCATGAACAAAATCTTTTTTTTTAAATATAAAAGATTAAAATGTTATAAAAATATGGTTGTTAAAGTTAATGAAAAAGTTTCATATACTGAATCATTCGGTTTAACACATGGAACCATAATCAGTGACGTATCCAGAGGTTTTTTGGGCATACCGGTTTAAAAGTCCTCTCTACGTTAGGAGGGTCTTTTTTTTTTAAAACATGAATTTAAAAGATATATAAACATAAATTGCCCTAGTATTTTACATTTTTCCAAATGAAAATGTAAATAATTAATGAAAATGTAAATAATTAACCAAAATGCAAGAGAAGCATTAACAATAAACAAGCGATAACTATAACATTTTATTTTACAACATCAGTTTACATTTTATACAAGCGATAACTATAACATTTAATAAACAATATTATGTTTCTTTTATATAGACTAAAAAGATTTAATACATAGCTTATTTATTGCATAACAAGGTCAAATCATTCAAAATTTTGATTAATTCATTCAAAGTTGATAACTTTTTTTTCTTGTACTTCTCTTACTTTTCAAATTAAGTTTTTTGTCGTGATTATTTATGTTATTATGTTTTAAAAAACTTTTATTTATTTTATTAAAGTATTTTAGGTGCAATTTTGCTGTTATTTGAAATGAAAAAGTTTAAAGCTCATATAGTTAAATTGCATTGTGAACTATAGTTACAAAAACATAAGCGGAGGAGAAAAACTTATATTAAGAGTATTTTTAAAAAGTTGATGTTTTTATTCAGAAATATAAAATGCTAAGTGTTTCATACTTTAATCCAATCAAAGCATGCATTTTACATTTAAATCCAATTGTAACATATTCCATATTTCATCCATGTAAATTCGAATTAAGCACTCTGATTGACTTAAAATACATTTATAATCTGTTTTAAAAGTTGTTTTTCAAATATTGGTTTTTTTAAGTGACATTAATAACATAACAAAATTTATAATCATAATTATCATAACAAATTTTATCACAAAACAGCAAGACAATAAGTAATAATTATTTTATTTTAATTTTTTAGGTGCTAATATAAAATTATTTTAAATTGAGTTTGGGCAGAAAATTTTGGGGTATATATCGGTATCAAAATCAGTCTGGATATATTGTTGATGCTTCAGTTAAGCAAGGTAAATTTTGAAAATTTTATTTACGCTTGCTAAATAATACATCTTGACATCTGAATGTAGTTTGATCAGTGGTGTACACTGGTTTAGATGTTTGAGTTTTGACATTTGCAGGCATTTTGCTAACTTTAGTATGTTCATGAGAAATGCCAAATGAGAATGTTTTGCAAAGAGTTGTGGAGATTGGAGCTTGTTAACCTACAGCTGTTGATGGTAAACCTACAGCTTAGTAAAATAATTCTATTTTATGTTCTATTTTTAAAGTGAAGAGTGTGATTTTTATATTTATAAATATAATAGTTATTATTAATCTTTAAAAAGTATTTATAACAATAACTATGATATTCATAATATTTTAAGAAATCGTGAAGTTTCTATATATAAGAGTACAAAAATGAACTCTAAACTGTAAATATACTTAAAAAATATATCATAAAAAACATACTTTCATTGGTTGGCACAGATTTTTTTAACTCTATTCGCCTTCCGCCAAATTCAAATGTAGCATGTTGAATAGCCATTTTATCAGCCATGTCTTCACTAGAAACCATAATAAATCCATAACCTTTATTTTCCTCTAATTTATTTCCCTGTTCATCCTTTTTTTTAATGAGCTGGACTGACTCAATAACACCAAATTTTTTAGGGTGACGACATTCAAAGTATTTTCTTATATCATCTTCGCTACAATTATTTTTTGGAAGATTAGCAATAAATAGTTTTTTTGTTTTTTCATGGGCCCCAGGAGACTGATTATCTTTGGGAACAGCCCTGTTAACATCTAATAAACGCCCTTTAAAATTTAAGTCTTTTCTCCTTAACAGTACTTCATCTACCATTTCAGATGTTTCAAAAGTGATAAATCCAAAATGACTTTTCTTATCCGTATCTTTTTTAATTATTACATGATCTGACACTTTTCCATTGGCAACTTGTTCAAAAAATGTTTTTAACTCTTCATCAGTAGAATCTGTTGTAATTCCTCCAACAAACATTTTTTTCATTTCCTCTTTGTCAAGTATAGGATCTCTTATATATTCTGTATTTTCTGTTGTCGTGGTATTTACGGTAGTTTCAGATGTTGCTTCAGATTGTTGATCAGGAACGACTTCTCCATTTTCGTCACCCATTTTTTAATACTAAATAAAATCCAGTTTTAAAAAGTTATAACACAACAATTAAAAGAGAGTATCGCTTTATCGCCAAATAAAACCTAAAAGCATAAAATAATCATTCAAAGCATAATGAAAGAAAAATTCTTTATAGAGAAAAATGTTAATTTAAAGAAAACTTTTTACGCTTATCATTCGTTCATATTATAAATAACATATAATTTAATCAGTTACTTGTATCTGCAAATTAATTATACAATGTAAAAATTTCATATCTAATAAAGCCTGACCCTGCCGCAGCTTACTGAACCAAAGAAATTGGCGAGAAAGAAAAATGGCCTTCTATAATGGCGCTAAAACCTGTGAGGGAGAAACTTTCTCTTTTGTTCGAGTTAATAATAAAAGTGTTTCATAAAAAGACTTTAAGTTAATCAAGTTTTGCACGTGACATTTGCATAATTCTTTACGGGGGTTTGTTAGTAAATTTATTTAATTCCTTTATAATTTTTTACGTTATTTATCAAAAAAATTCACTTTAAGATATTTTTCATAAGATACACATTAGCAAACGTTTAGTAGTTTTTTTAAAGCAAAACAATGGAAACAAGAATATGCAGGGTTAGCAATAGGGTATCCGCAAACGGGTCTCGAATAAATTTTGAAAACCAACTCTACTTACTTTTTTTTTATTTTATCTTTATTTTTATGTGATATTTGAGGTGGTCTAAGAACTACTTACGGTCTTATCACAGAGCACCGAGGAAGAGCATTTAACTAAGAGAGTTGCCTCCTATATTAACAATTTCTTACTTGGCCAGAGCCGGCATCGAGCTACTAACCTCTTAGTCTGAGCAATAAACTCTAATCACTTATTTAAAGTGATCTTCAGAAATTTAAAAGAAGTTTAATTAACTATTAAAAGAGATAAGCACTTTTTTAACAATTTATTCCAAAAAAACATTTTGAGGACTCTGTTTCAATGTCTTCCACGGGGTTCTCTTTGTGTTTGGGTTTAACATCACTGCACCCACGGTTGCAATAAAACAACACGGTAATAAAGTAACTCAATCCGGCGATTAGATAAGTAAATTGTTTGATAACAAAAAAAGATTAAGAAGAGAATGCACTTTAAATTATTTTTTTTGTCTCTCTTTCTTGTTAAATTGAATTAGCAAACAAGCTAGCCTTCAAGTTAAACAAACATTGCTCGTAAAAGAACAAACATTGCTCATCAAGAAAGTAGGCTAACCGATTAAGTTTGCTTTAAAGCTAGCCAAGCTGTATAGTGAATAAACTTTAATGATGCCAAGAAAAGACTTTTCAAAAGTAGTTTTAATGGAGTAGTGTATGAAATTTGTATAAAGCCAACCTTACTTAATGGTAATTTAAATAATGGGTTGCTAAGGAATGCCACATGTCATTCAAATAGTTATTTACATGAATCAACGTGACATAATAAAGTGATCGTAAATAAATTATACGATATTTTCAAGATCATATAATTATTGCTAATTATATTAACATTTTATTGAGGCTTAACAACTTCCAGCTAAAAAATAAATAGAGAGGCAGACAATATTTCTAAAGCACTGTGTTAAAATAAGTTAAAAAACATAGTACAAATTATAATGAGCGTAACAAAAGGTATTATTGTTGATAACAATGAAAAAAACAACACTGTGTTACAAAATTTTCGATTTTTTTTTTCAAATTTATAAAAAATAAAAAAATAAAATATCCTATTATTCTAAATATCCTTATTATTATTATTATTATATATATATATATATATATATATATATATATATATATATATATATATATATATATATATATATATATATATATATATATATATATATATATCAGTCGTAGAAACTGTAAGTTGTAGAAAGCCGTAGAAGGTTGTAGGAACTCTAAACTCTAAATAATTCAAAATAAGTTCCTAAAATTATTTTAAATTTGTTAGGAAATAAATTAGATATCGTAAAATATTTGAAAGTAATTTTAGATAAACAAAGAGCAGTATAATAACACTTTCGCGGAAAGTGTGGAGTTTTCCTCTACACTTGTGTGCAGCTATCACTCCTAGACACAGGTGTGGACTTATTTTGCACATTTTTGTGAAAATTAACTTTTTCTAACTCGAATTCTGCAGAGAAGTCTGGAGTTATTTTGCACAGTCTTGTGCAAAATAACTCCACACTTATGCATGTACTGCATAAGTACATGCAGTAATATTTAATATTTAAAAATAAATTTTATCATATATATTCTTACTTGGTTAAATAAGATAAGTTTTGTGAATATGTTAAATTACCTGATGAAATGTTTACAAAATGTTTAAAATTTTTACTTTTAATTATACTATTACACTATATAATTGTTTTGTATTTTTTACAAAAATATGAAACAAGTTTTTTTATCAGAATTTTTGTAAGATAATAACTTAATTCATTATTTAATAACATACAATAAAACAAAAAAACAATTTATAGCAATAAACAAGCTTTATATCTGAAATATTTTATTCATTTTTTATGAAAATTAATCTAATTTAAAGTGATAATTAAAAATAAACAAACTATAAATTTAATATATTTTTTTTAATTCAGAAGCATCTCAATTAATTTGTTTAATTTTTTCTTCTGAATTCTTTGTAGTAAAACACTTTTAAATTGAAATAAAAACATATATTACTTTTATGCTTTTATTTTTTCTGGTTAACTTTTTATTCATTTTGTCATTCCTTAAAATATTTGGGTTGATGTCTTTTCCTCCTCAGCTGAAAAATAGGCCTTTTAGGTAACCTCCTGAATTCAAGCCTCATTCTAATCTATGGTTTTTTACAATCTTGTACAGCTGCTATATCTAATTGTAATCATTTTTTTTTTCATCTTTTTCAAAAAACAACTCTCTTGAGAACAAACAGCTATTTATCACTGCAAGAAATCGATGTAAAAAGGTCATGTCAGATGCACTAGGCTCCATTATTCTCAGTTCACTAAATCTCATATCTCAGAAGTTAGGCTCTAGAGACTTTTGGAAAATCTTCAACAGTGTTGTTAACAAAGGCAGGTCTAACATTCCCTCTCTTATTCACGGGATTGATCTTATTACCTCTCCCAGAAATAAGGCAAAACTATTTGCAAATAGCTTCTCTTCCAACTCAAATCTCAAATCTTATGGCCATTTTTTTCCTTCCATTCCAATTAAACAGTTTAACCCATTGTTAGGCATTCAAATCACTTCAACTTCCGTTTCTAAAGCCATATCTCAATAAAACTCTTCTATGGCTTGTGGTTCAGACAACATTCTTGTCACAGTCGTACAAAACTGTTCTCCAGAGCTCTCCTTAATTCTCTCAACACTATTTAATAAGTGCTTGATTAAGTATTGTTTTCCTTCCTGCTGGAATGGTATCTGTTGTTCCAATTTTCAAAAACTCTGGTGAAAATTCTGACCCCTCCAATTATCATTCAATCAGTCTCCTTTCTGTTATTAGCAAGAGCTTTGAGTCTTTGATCAACAAATTTCTCACATCCCATCTTGAGTCAAATTACTTACTGTCAGACAATCAATATGGTTTTCATTCCTCTCACTCTATGGCTGACTTGCTAACTGCTGTAACTAAAATATTTTATCAGACATCAGATGGAGGGGGAGAGGCTAGGGCTAATGTTCTTGACATATCTAAGACTTACAACAAAGTTTGGCATGCTGGTCTTTTCCATAAGCTTGTTTCATATGGTGTATCTGGGAAAATTTTTGAGAATATTAAATTGTTTCTTTTTAACCGCTTTATCAAAGTCATCCTTGAAGGCTAACATTCTTTTTTATCTCAAGGTTCTATTCTTGGTCTTGTTTTGTTTCTTATCTGCATTAATGATCTTCCCGAAAATCTTATATCTAAAGTAGCTCTTTTTGCTGATGACTCAACTTAATACTCCTGTCTTGAAAAAAGTCTTCTCATTTCAATCGCTTAGAACAGACAGCTGATCTTGAATTTGATCTCTCTTTCAACACTCCTATATTAATGAATGGCAATCCTCTCACTGAGCCCTCTTCTTTATGTTTTCTTGGATTGTTGCTTACTACTGACCTTTCATTGAAACTAGAGGTGTACCGGATATTTTTGCCGGATATGCCGGATATTGAACTTTTTTAAAGTTATATAAGTGTTTATGAAGAAAAAACAAGTCTTCCCATTCTACATTAAACAGTGTTCAAGATTTAAAAAAATAAAATCAATAAAAAAACTGGTATAAACACAAGTATATGCGCTAAGGAAAAATAAGGAAAAATTGTTTTTACAGCCGAATTTTTTTATTACTATTTTCTATATTTCGTCAGCAAATATCCCATGTCATACAGTTTTTCTCTTGATTTTTTAAAGTAAGATCTTGAATACTATTTTATGTAGACTGGCAAGACTTGTTTTTTTTTTCATAAACACTTATAGAACTTTAGAAAAGTTCAATATCCGGCATATCCAGCAAAAATATCCGGTACACCTCTAATTGAAACCATATATACAATTGATTATTAAATTAGCATCTTCTAAGGTTGCTTCTCTTTATCATGCTTGCCATTTTCTCCTGATTCCATTCTCTACCTCTGCAAATCTCTTATTTGTCCCTGTATGGAATACGGTTTTGTATTAATTTTAATGCTTTTTTTTTAAATCTAAAAATGTCTACTATCTTTAAATATCTCCAAAAGTTCTTTGATTTATTAAATGTATTCTGTTAAAAAAGAATAGTGCTACTACAATACAAACAAAATGTATTTTCATCAGTGTCTATAGCATATCTATTTAGTTTAGGTAACAAGTTTGACATTTTAAGTAGGCTACAATCATGACATTCTAGGTAGGCTACAATCATGACATTCTAGGTAGGCTACAATCATGACATTCTAAGTAGGCTACAATCATGACATTTGCATTCAACTTGTCCATACAGATTAGCAACCATTGCATTGGATAAAATAACATTTTGGAATTTAAGATTGTGTATCTTTTTGTGACCATTTTGCTTTATTCATTGTTAAAAATGTGGTCTACAAAGGGACAAACTATCCAATCAATAAATCAAAACAGCTTTTAATGCTGCTCTTTTTTAGTAAGCTGTAATGCAATATTCTTCTAACTTAATGGAAGATAATAGCTATGTGTTAAAATCATTTTGCAAATATCCAAAATGACTGAAAATTTTTTCCATGATAAAATCTTCTATATAATATTGCCAAACTTAAT